AAGGAAGGAAGGAAGGAAGGAAGGAAGGAAGGAAGGAAGGAAGGAAGGAAGGAAGGAAGGAAAGGAGAGAGACAGAGACAGACAGAGAAGGAAAGAGAATCCAAGATCGTTCTGCTCAGTTTCATGGCCATAGTTCTTTGTTTAGTAGGTGGGGTTGTCTTATGATCCAAAATGCCTTCCTATTCTGTTGCCGATTCTTACCTACTTATCTGAAGTTCTTTGGGGGTCAGTTTGTTTGTGCGGGGTTTTTTAAGTATAAACACAATGTATAATTTACACTAAACTTTGCTATTAGAAAGGTAAACAATTTTAAAGAAGCAAATAACAGAGTACTATTCCAGTGTCTCGGAGGGGCTTTGAACCTCCATTTATTATGCTGTTTGGAAACTACAGGCGAGCGCCAGAGGGGAGCTGGGACACACGTGCCAAAGGCATCGTCGTCAGTCTGAAGTGTCTTTATTTGAACCTGAACCTGAGCGCACTCAGAAACCAGATCCAGGTTCTGTGTTCTCGCCAGCTGACAGCAGCGGAGGAGGAACTATTGATAAATGCATTTATTATGCTCTGGTTACCTTTTAATCGTGAAGGTTAACTAACTGTTTAAGGAGACGTTGTAATTATAGGAGATTATCCCCCAGTTGAAGCCAACTCCCGATGTGATTTTCAAATACTTTTCAAAAGTCGATCGCTCTCATCAAAGCAAAAGGCCTCGCCTAAATGTTCTGTCTGTTCTCAGTCAGTTCCTTGAAAGACAGCACCATAAATGCATTTGGAAGTCTCTTTTAAAGCCCCCACTGTGAAATTAGCCTGAATTACTCTGGCCTCCGGACATAGAGCCGCCATGCATAAGAAATCGAGATTCCTGTTTGCTCTAGACATGGTCTGCCTTGCTGATTTCAAAAGATGAGTCATATCTGTATGTCCTATTTAAGACTTAGACTTCTCTCCCATAGAATTCTCTCCCGTAGAATTCACCAAAGACATTTTGAAGACCACTGCTTAGACTTCTCTCCCATAGAATTCTCTCCCGTAGAAAAAGACATTTTGAAGACCACTGTGAAGTCACGTACTCTTTACCATTTTAAATACGTGGAAGACCGCTTTGTTTTCTGATAGAGAGCGACAGCTCATAGACTCAGTAAATGGCTTGTGACATGGATGTGGTCCCAAGCTCGATGTTTCAAGGTCTCTGGCTTGACTCTGGTCACAACCAGGAAGTATTGCTCCCTTTTCTGCCTGGGTCACAGGTAGGAACTTTTCACACCAGTTCTAAATAATCCAGGTGACTGTCAACTGGTCCCTACCAGTGAGAGGCTGAGGGCAGTGTACTGCAGGAGTGGGGACAGAATCCTTCCTGAATTTATATTGGGTTAGGTGACCTGCATCTCCGCAGAAGCTCACAGCCCAGTGCCTGCATCATGTATATTCCGTATATGGGCATCTCACTGTAATTATTAATATGCAATTTATGCGTGCCTTTTGAGGGGAAATGTCCTATTTTAATTTGAAAGATTATGTAGCAATCCTAGATATGTTTAAAAAAAAAAACACTCATAACTCCACCATCTTGACGTTACTAGTTTGTCTCCGCAATCGGAGTTCCACGTTTTATATAGTGTAGGCCTAGTGTACATATTATTTTGTATTCTGTCCTTTTCACTTAAAATTATATAACCTAGTACTTTTTACTCATTTCATGGTATACTTTTATATCATTTCTCTCTTGGAAACAGAGTTTGTAAAAAAATAATTAAAAAATTCATAGAATCTGATGGTTCATATTCTGTATTAAGAATAAGTTAATCTCCAGATAGAAGTAGAAAAGTGATGGTTTAAAGCAGTAATTTAATCACTACTAATGTTTTTGACCCATGTTGATTACCAAGTGTTAATAGTTTTGACTAATTTCGAAAAGCGGCAAAAAACTATTCTGTTACTTGGAGATTTTTCTGCTACGTTTGGAACCAAAATACTTCATGATTTCACATTTCGAAGCCTGGTAGGAAATATAAGCCTTGTTAAGAAAATATAAAAGAAAAACAAGCGATGAAAAGCAGAGGAAACGGTAGACCTTTCGTGTTCTGGAAAATGGACTCGCTCTCTGTCGGTACCATCGTGTCGAGTTAGCTGACTCACAGCGACATTCATTAAAAGGCATTTCTCTTGGTTAATCCTTGGAACGCTCCTGTGTGCTAGCTCTGTCCTCGCTCTGGTTTCAAAGAAGAGACCAAACGCTTGCCCAAGTGTAAGCCTGCGGCAGGCAGATTAGACCAGAGCTCGCCATCCCCATTTCCGCCCAGCACGTTAGGGCACACGGCCGCCTTTTCATTCAGATGAACCCTTACGATACATTGGAAATAGTAAACAGGATAAGACTGGGGAGCTACGTAAACACGCCCTTTTGATTCGGGCTCTGTCTCGAGCAGTGAGGCAGGCCTGCAGCTGGGCCCCACCTCCTGAGGCGTGTGGATTTCCCCCGGGATGACCGATGTGGCTTGGTCGTGCCACCCAGGATGGTGAGTGGACGGCTTTGCCAAACAGGGCAGTCTGCTGACTTCCACGGCTCTGTCCTGGAAGGGGAGAGAAAACCGAGGCTCGAAGCAATTGTGGTCAGGGTTACGGGGTGGGCCATGGCCAACGCAGGTTTTCTCTGGGTGTCTTTTACACCCAGAGTGGTGGCTGCATCATTTACCATCCCAACCAGGACACCTTTGAGAGCGAAAGGGGAGTGCTACTAATAACAATACTTGAACGACAGGCAGCAAACTGGGATCGTCCCTGGCAAACTGGGACGTCCGGTTCAGGCTATTTTTAGCACATCCTGACCCCCGTTCATGTCAGAGGCGATGACGGCAGGCAGGCACCTGGGTTTCAAGAAGGAGCAAAGCCTTCCCCAGCACAGACCCCCCGTCCTGCCAGGTGTCTTCTTTATCTCCCCGTAGCCAGTGGATGGCAGCTCGTTGGTGGCACACACGCCCACTGCTTAGCTCAGGACTGTTTGCCCGAGGTGAGTGAAGGCTCACACCAGCACCAGCGTCTTCACGACCCACTGCCTTATAGGGCGCTGCCTCCTGGGCAGCGCCCATTAACCAAGTCTGGACTTCTGACTGTTATTTTAGAACCATTCTAGAAACCTTTCCCCAGAGATGCCCTTTCCTGTGCGAGACAGGGAGAGATGGGCTGGCTCTGCAGCCTTAGTCTGGAGGCCCATTTCCAGGGGGAGGGCTGGGCTTCAAAGAAGACGAGGGACAAGTGAGAGGGAAGCCAGCCGTCCTTGTCCTCCCCCCCGCCCCCCAACCTCCTCCTCCTGCTCCCCGCCTCCGATCGATCGTGGTCACGCTGCTGCCCGACTCTGCTGAACGCATTTGGCTCATTTCTCCCTTTCACACTTTCAAAAATAGATCCTCGTCCCTCCCAAGATGTTGTTTACACGAGGGGCTTCATAACGGATTCTAACGGAAGACACTGAAAAGGTAACTTGTCAGAGGGGGAAGGGGGTGGCCGCTGGGGGCAGGGTGTAAGTGGGCAACAAGCGCATTCAAGCAAGCGGGGCTCGCAGTCCTAGACGCGAGAGCAGACAGGTCCACGAGCGGGGAGCGGCCCCGGAAACCAGCCGCAGCTGCGACACGATGTGTCTGCGAAGTTAGCGGTCGCCTGAGAGCCCAGAGCAGGGACGCATGGATCACCCAGATCCTGTCACAGTGCAGACTCGGCTTCCTAAGTCTGGGCGGGACTTGGGATCTGCGTCTCTAACGTGCTCTCACGTGCCACCAAGCTGGTGACACTTGCCGCATATTTTGATGAGTGAGGCTTTTAGGTGCCGGTAGAGATTGGGGCGGAGGTCGGAAGAACTATGTTCTCGTCCTGGCTCCTGGTGCCCCTCGGGCCAGTTGGGTCATCCATCTCTTAAGTCACCTCGTCCCTAAGACTGAACTAGTCACAGTTTTCCTATCACATACCTCCCAGGGGCATTTGGAACCGATAGGTGAGCAATGTGCGTTCCAAAATAAGAAATACAAAATTCGTCGAGACAATAAAAGCGATGCAAAGCTTCGTACCTAAAACATCCGTAGAAAGAAACAGTAAAAATGGCGAAGGACCCCTGAACGCACAGAGCAAACCGAAGGCTTAACGACGAACTGCCGGCCAGCGTGTCCGCTTTAAGAGCTGAATACACGTTTAAAGAAAAAAAACTTCCGAGCTTTAAAAACAGAAGTTAGAAACGATTATTTGAATCACAAAAGGTCGCTTTCAAAAGATTCATGGGGTTTCTCTTTAAAAGGAAATTTTCCTAGGAAAACTCACACTGAAGTTTCTCCTCCCTGGTTCTCGAACCAACAAAAGAACGAACCTCAGACAGAGCCCGCGGCCTCCAGGCGTCACAGAGTCGCAAACCTCGCTCTGCAGCGTTTGGAAAAATCCAGAGCTGGGAACCCCTAGGGTCTCAGGAGGCACTGAGACTTCTCAGGCTGACAGATCTGTCATGGGAGTGGAGTTTCCAACAGTTTGTCATCGTTTGTCCAAAAGGGCCAAATAGGAAACAAAATTAGAGTGGCAAAGTGAGTCAGGTGTTATCATTCCCCCCGCCCCCACCTTTCTCCCCAACCGTTTCGTAGTCTGTGGGACTTACGCCAGGGGTGCTTGACCAAGGGTGGGTGACCAGGAGTGGGTGACCGGAAAGCGGAGGGCCAGATGTCCGTACGTTTCCTGGCTTTAAAGTCGGACCATGTACGGCGTTTCCCATGGTTCCTTGGTGTTTGGCGGTGAGGTTAACGCATTCTTCCTCACGACATTTCGGGGTAGGTCCAGATTATCAGGGATGACGTGTCCCCTGTGAAAAGTGAACCCTAACCCGGCCGGAGGTGAGCATTCTGCCGGCTGTGGCTGCGCTCCATCTGTTAGGCAGCTCCAGATAAGGTCAGGGAGAAACTTCAGGCTGACTTCGCTGTGCCAGCTCCGTGCAGGCCTCACTGTAGAAGTGCCGAAGCGGCAGGTGAGATTCGAGTTTTCCCTCTAATTCTTCGGTGTCTTTCATTCGGCAGTGTGGATTCTTGGTCATGGACGCAAAGAACTTTACATTCTTAAAAACGAAATGGAGATGTCGCTTTGGCCAAACTCTATGAACCCGGTCCCCGGACTCATGTCGGCCTCCTGTTAGGGGACTAGGTGGGCCTTACTCCTGAACAAGACCGGGGGGCAGGACGTCCGGGTGTCAGGCAGCCGGCTCCTCGGTGTTATCACGTGCTCAGTCTACACAGATCACTTAGTTTCAATCTCACCTTTTTATCCCAGGAAGCTTAATCCTGCATAGCAAGGAGCGATCGCTTTATAGGGCTTGGATGCCCTGTAAACTTGGTTGAAAACCAAGTTTTCTGTCTTGTGAGAAAACATTTCGGGGTTCTCTTTCTTTTCCTAACACGGAGCTTTAGAAGTTTTGATGACATGGGAAACAGGTGGTCAGGAACGATCTGACTGGCAGCCACTCAAGGGGCTCTCTTGCATCTGTTGTCACTTTTGCAAGTGGGTCCTCTCCATCGTACTTCTAATGCCGTTTTTAAAGCACGACTAAGCCTACTAAGCTGTCCTTGGAGTACTCACTCACTAGCTCTTGTCTTTTCTGTCCTGTACCAAGTCTCGCTTGTCACCGGTGTGTCAAAGGACGGATTCCTGCTTGCCTACATGGCACTTATAGTTCAAGTAGACTAACTAGACTCATGTCAAACTACTCATAATTATTTAGTCTGCGCTCAAATCTCACTGTAGTCTCTACTCGCAGAGTTAGATAGTCTAAACATTTGTTAAGAGGCTGTGAATTAAGACTCTCTTCTTTATTTTACTTCTTATGGGGTCATTTAGATCAATTTTCGAAAGTTTTTAACTTTCCTGAACATTTATCAAGTGAAAACGTTATCACGTACTAAGCAAATCTCAATTGTGAATATCTACTGCTTTTTCACCTTCATGCTCACTGGCTTGAGGCCACCTACAAGTCAGGGCCTCACTAATACAGCGGTGTCCTGATAACCCACTGGATGCTGTTCTCAATCCGGAAACAGCCTGCCATTTAAGGGAAAATATCTCAGACAAAACCCAATCTCCTGTGCAAAACGGAACCCACAGTGGGTCAACATTCATCTCATTTGGGATGTTAATATCTGGCCTGCCCTGGAGAGAGTAGCTCAGTATTTCTAAGAAACGCGTCACCATATTAAGTCTTCAGACGAGAACATCAGATGGTATTAGAAAACTATGCAGTACCTACAGCAAAAGTGGTTCTCTGATAGATAACAATGAAATCGCAACTATAGTGGACGGACATTTCTAGAAAATAATAACGGTGTTTTCAGCAAACCATGTCTTCAATGTTCTAATTCCCTTTTTCTGCTAAGGAAAATGGACCACACCTTTGATCATCAGATAAAGGAGAGAATCTCTATTAAATAGGACTTTGCTTGTCTAGAATCTCAAAGGATAGAAAACATACCCCTCAGAAAATCAGGCCAAGTACTTAAAAGCACAATGCTCCACGACAGTCACTATTAGTTATTAGAGATTTTTTTTCTTTACGTCATTCACTGTCCTTCTCAGTACTTAACAAATAATACAGATAACTCACAATTCCAGCTTCTCTCCTCTGCATTTAAATGATACTATGCACCCTCTTCAGGGCTTAATTCTCTTTTCTTACCTACTTGGATCTTTGATTTCTTTGAAATCTTAGATTTCAGTGTATCCTAGAAATTTCTTGAATATATGGAAGTTATGGATTCACATGTATTTCTGGTAGGGCCTGGAATGGAAGTATGCAATTCGTATAAGCATTAAATGATTATATGTATGTGGATTTGAAAAATAAATGAAATTTCTTGGTATATTATTTTTAAAAACTCATTTTATTTTAATGGGTTGTTCTGGTCATTTATCCCCTAATTGAAATCTACCTTAACTGGGGACTCTTTCTTTCTCTGTCTTTGGTAGACAGTGGTAGATGTGACGGTATATTCTGAAGTCTAACTAACATTAATATTTATTCATTTTTTTCCTGTTAAAAGCTATTTTTGATGGATGTGAGAATATAGCATCATCAGCCTCTGCCTTTGTCATGTACCTTCTGATTTTGTTCATTCTATTAAGATACCAAAATTAATAAGAAGGACTAATTCCTAAATATCTAAGCATATGGGTAAAATATTTTAAGAAATCATTATTTGTAGCAGGATGACAGAGAAAAATGACATTGAGCTGGAATCTGTTTAATCATATTGTATCTAACTATTTCTCAGTTACTTATCTATTCATTTAAATACTTTCTTGAACGCCAAATACCTGGCGGCTACGAGGTTAACTCTACGTGGGGAGACAGTGGAGACCGAGGCAGGCGTGGTGTCTGATATGTGGAGCTTGAGGAGCTGAATGAAATAGGTGCCAGGAGGAGAAGTACAGGGTGCTCTAGGAGAACCTGACTTTGTGTAGACGGTTAAGATTATCTATCTAGAAATGAGTAAGACGAAGCAGGCAAAAACACAGCAGAAGCACGTAGGAATCTTCTGGAACCCTTCCGAGGCTGCTTCTGCCATATGACACGCACGCACACACAAGCACACTCACGAACACACACATACACACACACACACACACATTTAAAGATTTTAAATTAAGGATGTGTATTTCTGGAAAGACCTGGTGATCTGGGACTAATTATATTTCTTTAAGCTAATTTTCCTGGGTTAATTGCTAGTAACTGAGCTGAAATAGGCTATTGTGGGTCTTCACATCGTGACTGTGTGGTGTCCCAAATAAGTATTAGTGACATGGTCTCCCTATTTGTAGAGTAGCTTTAGTTTTCTCTCTTTCTGGTCTGTCACTTGATCCCCAGAACCGCAAACTCCTGTGTGGCTGACAAAAGTACATCGGAATGCAGGCAATGGAAGAGCGCATGTCATTCCATTTATAAGTCTATCTCATTTCAGCCCCCCGTTGCAAAGGATTTTGCTAATCTTAGAAACAACTAGAAACATTTTCACTTAATTAAAATGAGTTCCCTTTTAACCGTTTATATAAAGTAATGCATAATTTGCATCCAAGTCTAAGAAACCATCACTTTTTCCTTTAAAAGAATTGCAAGGATGCAATTAAGAGTAAACCATCAATTACAAATTTCTGCCCGGTGGTGTTCCTAGGTCTTAATTACAATTCTGACAATGAAAAACAGAACTTCAGGTTTTCCTCAGCGGTGTGGACAGTTGGGAACAGGTCAGGAATCCTGAAACTGAAGCCTTTGCCAATTTATCTGGGAGATTTGACCGTTTCCAAAAGAAATGGTCTCAAAGGCGGGGTACAGAGCTACTCGAGCACTTCTGAGAAGTTACAAGATCAGGGCCGTTCGGGACGGAGCCTCTCGATCTGGCAGCGCTTGGTGCTGTCGACCACTGAAGGAAGAACAGCGGAGAAGTTACCTTGGGACGTTTAGCTGGTTCTCCAAATACACGATTTAATATGGTATCTACTGAGTATCCAAAATGTGTTAGCATTAAAGTCGGCTTCCGAGAGTGAGGGAGGCAAAACGCTTCTCTCCCAACGTCCCCTTCTCTCCTCAGTGCTCCCCCCGCCCCCAGGGACCAGGCAGGAAGAGGGATTAAGTAGTTTTAATTGGTCATCTGATGAAACACCTGCCGTTCTGCATAAGCAGCTTTCTTCTCTCACCCCAGAAATAAATCATTACTCACTGTCCCCAACACAGCAAATTACCCATCCCTTGCCTCGTTCCCCTCCCCCCTGCTTTCCCTGCCCTTGAAAACATGGCCACCCTTCCACCAGCGCCTTAGACCCAGAGTCTGGGGCCGGAAGGGACCCCGGGGGTCGCCCGGGCCAGCCACCTGCCCCCGCCCGCCCCCATCCTCAGAGTTGCATCCATCTGGGCCACAGACTTGCAGCTTCGTGAAACTAATGCCTGTTGTCCTTTGTCCCCGCAGTGCCATGGCTACTTACTCTGCCACATGTGCCAACAGTGGCCCTGCACAGGGCGTCAACATGGCCAACAGCATTGCCAACCTGAGACTGAAGGCCAAGGAGTATAGTTTACAGAGGAGCCAGGTGCCGACAGTCAACTGAGGAAAAAATAATTAAACAGGCCTAAGAAGAAACCAAAACCCATAAGACACCTATCCTGTTCTGTCATTTCTTCATCTGCCGGAAAATAATAATAACGATAATACTAATCAAAACAAACCAAACACAGAACTAAAATATTGGGACCATGGCAGAGAAAAGCAGGAGAGGAGCCAAACGAACGTTAGTTGACAAATGTTCCTCCTTCTCGGGCGCCAGCACCACCTGCTTCTGTGCGTTCATTGTGTTTCCCCTTCTGTTCCTGTGCTTTTTGCTTCATATACTCCGAGCTTCTCCAGTCAGGTGCAGCCCACTCACTCCCATGATCGCATGGGTTCTAAAAAAATCTACAGCCGCCAAAGAAACGGAGTATACATATATATATATTCAGAATATACATATATTCTATACATATGCATATTCTGAATAACTGTCCGAATAATCTCCTCATTGACTTGTTTAAACCTCAGTGCCTTACCCTGTCCTTCTTCCCAGTTCTCTGTATAGAAGGCTCTAGGAACTTCTAAAAAGCCAGTCTTTCTGAAGAGTCTGTGCCAGACATGACTTCCTTTCTCACTGTCTCCATCTCTGTTGGTCATGGTAAGGTTTTGCCATCAGCTACTGGGAAAAAAAAAAAAAAAAGCCATCGTGTACAACACCTGGTCACTGGCCCGTCTGATCCAGTGGGACTGGCTGTGTCCGGCTACTTCTAAGCTCTGGGTCTAAGCTCTAAACTATAGATACTATCACCATCACCCTCCACCCCCATCCAAACAATCAGCTATCTTAAGTTAAAGATATTTGTTGTTTTTGAATGATTTGCTGTCATGCGCTATTTGATAGAAGTAATATTTTTCACTTGAGAGAGGGAGAGAAATTTCTCTCGGAAAACAAAGACTGAGTTGTGAAAGGCATGGCCTCCATCTCTTTGGTGCCTTAATGGTCGTCAGACGCACACTTATATATAGACTGTATATATTGATATATTATATATATGATATTCTTGCGAGCTTGATTTGCAGACGCTACAAAAAGCGAATTACACGCCGTCACCACTGCCCTTATCACTACAGCGATGAGACTTTTTATTGGGGACCTTGCTTCCTTTCTTACTCGACACAGAGCGATTGCTAGGAGCTGTTTGAGAACAGGGCTCATTTTCACATGAGGGCTTTAAATAAATTAGAAACTATTTGAGGCTTATAAGAATGTCCTTGACTCTGGAGCCTGAGCCCCGGTGGAATCCCCGATCTATCACGGGAATCACACTTAGAGAGAGGAGGAAAAGCCATTGGGTCGCCTGCCCTTCCTCCCCTCAACAGGAATCCGAAAGACACATGTTTTAATGGAATATTTTAAAGGTTTGTCTAAATTTCAAAAGAGGCAATTATGGGCTCCTTTTAATTTCCTAACATTTTGAAATAAAGCTTAGTGGCCAGGGCTGGGAGACCTTTCTTGTCTCTTTCTCTTTGTTTCCAGCTGTGCTTTTGTAATTCGTCAGTTGGACTTGATCAAACCACATTACCACGCGGTGCCTCGGTTTACCCTCTTTGTAAAATGGGTTTAACGATACCTCCCTACCTCACAGGGGTGTTGTGAGGATCAATTCGTTTGCTCCTTTGTTCTTTCCTGTATTCTCTGTATGTCCAGCACTTTTTTGCCACGGGAGGAAAGGGACTATAAAAGTATTCGATGTCAGTGGGAGGGTCCGGTACCTGGAAACCTAGTTTTCTAGCGAGGAAATGCTACCTTGCTGTACATACTTATAACCTTGCATTTGGTTTATATTTACAGACCTCTGAGAAATCACATCATTTGACCAAAGAATCATTTTAAGGCACACAGAGCAGGAAAAAAAAAAAAATTTTCCACTTATACTTTCATCCTGACCAGCTTGGTTCTAATCATTTTAGTTAATAGGTGATTAAATGGCTTTAGATCGATTCTGGCCAAATCTGCCAAACCTTGAGCGACAGGCAAGGGATGTGGGGTGTAAGATGCACTTTCAGTCCCTGCTTGTTATTTCCCTGGCATACCAGATCGAGCTCACAAACGGCCACCGACCCGCAAATGTATTGCAAATGTCAATTCTGTGCTTCTTTCAGGAACAAGAAGGAAGCCCATTTTATGCGTTTTGCTTTCATCCACTGATTCCCTGTTCTTTTCACCTACGATTCAAACATTTCTTACTGAATGGTTCACGTGGGCTGGTGAACAACACACGTGACATGCTCGCTGAAGGGTCCCTGGACTAAGTCTCTGTCTTACTGGCTGCTGTGGATTGCTGCATCTCAGACAAACCATGAGCCCCAACAGACGAAACCTTCCTTGTGAAGTGAGTGCAGTCTAAGGAATTGGGGAACTATTGGAGTTTGGGGTTTGGGGGAAACATCTGGTAGAAGATTTGGGTTATAGAGCAAGAAACAGAAATTACACATGAACAGAGTTTGCTAAGAAGCGCGGGGTGAGGGGGGGAGTCTTAGGAGAGGGAGTCGGAAATTGTCATGTGAAACAATGTCACTTGAGGGTTTCATCCTGACATCCATTTTCAGTGGTGAACAGAAAAGCCTGACCCCGTAACCCGAATGCTAGGTGAATCTGGGCAATTTCCTCCAGTGCCTGGGCAAGTGACGTCTGGGAACACCTCAGAGTAACTCGTGCGAACTGGCCACAGGACCTCGGCATTGTTGGTGAATGTAGACCACAGGCACCTATTATCTAAGCACTTGATCAAGAAATATACCCGTGGTACAAGCACTCATTTATTACTGACTTAAAAGAAGTAGAAGTTTGATAGGTGGTTTGCAGGAGTAAGTAGCCCTCTGGTTCCAAGCCGGCCATCGACAAAGGGCCTCAGGACCAGAGTTCAAAGGCGGACCCCGTTCCTCACCATCACCATACGCAGATACAGATGAATACATGCAAATGTCTGCTTGTGTCCCCAACCCCTCCCACACACGATGCTGATTTGTGGGGTGCATGGCAGGTTAAATGGAACCAGAAGAGGTGACCGAATAAAAAAGGGAATGACGTTTAGGGTATAAAGATCTCATAAGAAATGTAATATGTAAATTATATCTTGCTTTATGATGTAAAATATACATTGTTTGCGCTAGAATAGAAATGATTTCTTTTCAATAAAAAGAAAGAAGGAAACTACCTGTTGTCGTTTGTCATATACAGTGGCGTCTGCCCATGCTTTTCTCCTTGAACTTCAGACACAGACCTGCTAGGATCTGAGATTACATTCAGAGGAGAGTGAAGGTAAGAGAGATTTGTAAACGAGAGAACTTTTACCAGAGTGTGACACATTATTTCCTAAAAAGGAAAACAATTTCTTGTTCCTCAAAAGCGAAGACAATGGTGAGTGGGGGGAAGAGGGGACAATTATTAGTACAACAGAGAAGTGTGGAATAAAATTTTTATGAGCGTTTAGCTATTTTCACCCACATCTTTACCATCCACAATACCAGATATGCAAAAAGATACCAGATCAAATACAGCCTTTTATTTTAGAATAAAGAAAAAATGAAGTAAAATTTCTTAAGTACCTACTGGGCATAGCAATGGGTGTGTGGTATTTGGGGGCAGGGGATAGAAAACCCAAACTGGGGGGACACAGGTTCTGTTTTCTTACCAATTACAATCTGATGTGAAAGGCAACTCCAGCATGAACAAATAGATGCCACCATTCAAGGCCAATTCACAAGTGTCAAACGATTGGAGCAGATGGCCTGGAGTGGGCGGGGCTTTCACAGAGGGCCTGGGACTGGAGTCTCATCGGCCAGGACTCTGGCGGGAGAAGAGGAGGCGGTGGTGGTCTTTCAAGTGGAGGCGCGGAGAAGGGATGAGGGCGGTGGTCCGGGAATGGGGAATTCGTGTTCAGGGACCATGGCTAATGGGATGAAGAGCTAACTTTGCAGCAGAGTGGAAGAAAACACTGGAAACTGAGGTAGAGCCTTCATCCTGCAGGGTACTGTGTGTCTGATCAAGGAGTTTGGACTTTTCCTCAAGCCACAGAGATCCACTGAAAGTTATTAAGTGGGGGAAAAAAAAAAGTCAAAAAAATACTACTTTAGCAGAATTTTGTGGTCGAAGAATGAGATAAATTAGAGCAGAACAGGAACCGGAAGCGGAAGAACAGAGAGAAGGATGAGTAGCAAACAACTTGCAAGGAAACAATCAACAGGATTTCACGGCGGGGAAAAGTGAAGGGCACCCACGCTAACCCGGGTTTGAAATTTGGGGACTAGGAGAATGAATCACTGACAAAAAACAACAGAAACAGGAGAGGCCCCGTTACAGGAGATGATCACTGCAGTTTGAGTTATAATATCGAATTTAGAAACCGAAATCTCAGTATCTAGTAAGCGAAGGTATGAAAGTGGAGCCTGGCATCGCGGGCGAGGATGCGGATGGGGATTTGGGATTCATCTTTCAGGAGGTGGCACCTCGCGGTCCGAGAGTGCGTGAGTTCTTCGCGAAGACAGCGAGTCACTGTGACTCTACTAATTACTTAGATAAATGACTTTCGCAAGTAGTTTAGCCCCGGGAAGAAGCCTGGCCTCTGAAGAACAGCTGTGGCGGGGAAGGGCTACCGAAGGCCGTTTCCAAGGAGCTGATAAAGAAAAGGGAGGCGAACCCGCCTGTTTGTTACCCCAGAGCTAAGAAAAGAGAAATTTTCAAAAACAAGGGAATGATGAATATATTCAAATGCTGTAGAGTGGACCAACTAATGGGGGGTGGAGGAAAGGCCAGTGGAATAGGGATTTTCTTGAGTACAACTTACGAGAGTCCCGAGGCCAGGGGTGGGGGCAGGTGGGGTCTGGGAGTCCCGTAGCACAAAGCTAACGTGGCCGGCAACTCTACACGGGAATTTCAGGGGACACGGGATGTGCCGGGGACAGCATGGACCCTGGAGCCGTCCCTGCCTGGTTACCGGCGTGCAGTGTAGTCTTGGGAAGTGCTTACCCCCGACGAACCCTTCTCCTCCTTTTGTAAAATGACATCTAAGCTATGGATTTGTGGGGGATTAAGTGAGACGACGGACAGGAAGCGTTAACGTGAGCTCGAGTCACATTGTGGATTTCTTTTGCTTTCACGCTCTCGAGGGACAACTGAGACACCGTGGGACGAGTCCTGGGGTGCAGGTCAGGAGGTCCAGGCTCCCTCTGTGGCATCGCAGAGGAAGGAATTCGAGGGAGAGGGAGGCGGAGGAGGAAACGTGCAGGAAAGCAAAGAGAGGGTGCATAGGGTGTGTGGGACGTTCCTGCTCCCACGGGGGTGCGGTACACCAGATGTTCTTCCTGTTGCCTAGCTACTCTGTAACTTGAGGAATTTTTCCTTTTATTTATTTGTTTGTTTGTTTGTTTGTTTGTTTTGGCTTAGATTAAAAAAAAATTGGCACTCAGAGTTCGGAAGCCCCTTTCCCCACCCTGGGAATGCTACGGAACGGTGACTAGGGACCCTGCCCTTACCCCACTGTCCTGACCTCAAGTTCATGCTCGGGCTGACCTCGTGCTGACCTATGAGGCCGAGGCAGATGGCGGAACGTACTGGGCTGCACTGTACCCAGCAATAACACAGTGTATCGTGTAATGATACGTTTGATGGTCTCAGGCGCAGGTTCGGGCCAGCCCGCGCTCAGGCCTGCTCCGGCCCAACTAAGGCTGAGCCTGAGGGAGCAAAGCGTCTGGGCTTCCTGAACACGGAGGTCCCCCTCATTCACTTAGACGCTGTGACCCATAACTGTGCGGGGTCTCGGGCTGTGGACAGGTGCCCTTTGACCCACCCTGGAAAATGTGCTGTGTGTGGACGGTGCTGGCTTCTTTAAGAAGCCTTTAGAGAAGTGAGTCCGGCTTGATTGACTATAGGAAGGTCTGTGGTCTTTTGGTCGATCCAAGCCCCCTGCTGAAGTTTATTCAGTCTTATTTGGCTTTGCTTCCCCCAAAACTATTGAATTGGTGTGTTGAGGCAGAGAGACAGAGAGACAGAGACAGACAGACAGAATACGGTCACTGGAGAACAAAATGTGTTCATTATGCCCCTTTAAATTGGCAGGATTAGTAAACTGGTAGTTTAGGATATTCTAAAGTACTTATTCACCTTCATTTTGGGGAAGCCTTTTAAAAATTAGGAAACTTATTATGGCAGGGCTTCTGTACTCTTCTACTCGGTGGCTTTGTCGAAGTTAGAAAATTGAAAGTGTCCAAGAGGATTTTTGAGTAAGTTTCTCATTTTTCAACAGGAAAAAAAAAATAATAGAGAAATCTGAGATAGATAATGACGTAGAACAGCTGGATATAATTTTTGACTGGCTGAATAACCACGTCCGAAGATTATCTTTGTTCATTAGCGTACTTCGGGACTTTGCTGTAGGTCTCCCATGCTCCATATGATAATCAATTACTTCGGCAAAGATAAAAAATGTTACGCTTATCAAAATTTCAAATGATCCAAACCTCAGAAGAATAGCTAAAGTACTTGAATCACAGGATTCATTTCAAGATGGTCCTCATTTTATATGTAATTTGTATAATAGGTTAGTGTGGACTCCTACTTTCAAGAGGATAAAAAATCTACATAAAGCAACATCCTCCGCTCGTCTAATTTCCACTGTGATCCCACTAGAATAGCTAAAATTAAAGGGATTGTCAATCCTAACTGCTGGTGGGGACGTGGAATGACAGGTCACCTGGCGTGTTGTTGGAGAATGGTTTGTCAGTTTCTTCTCAAGCCGAAAATACAGCTACCACGAGACCAAGAAATTCTACTAGATATTTATCTGCAAGAAAGGAAAACATGTGTCTACATAAAGATCTACACCCAAATCTCGACAGCCCAA